TACTCGATGGTCATGTTTTTGTGTTACAGAGTCTTCTGGAGAAATTCATGGTATCCCAAGCAACTTCAGTTTTAGTGCTGCAAGTGGGAAGGACTCGGATGTGAAAGATGCTAGTGTATCTCAATTCAAGAAAAGAAAGCTCTTTGCAGATACTGATTCATTACCATGTGAGGTTTTGAGGAAGATTGAGGAATCTTTACCTGTTTTGCATTCACCAGATTACTACATGAAACCATCTTTGAAAGATTTGGTAAGACAGGAAATCATGGATCCTGGCTATTGCGGCCGTGTTCCTAATTTCATTGTTGGGAGGTTTGGTTATGGATGTGTAAAGTTTCTTGGGAAGACTGATGTTAGATGGTTGGATTTAGATCGAATTGTAAAGTTCCGCAGACATGCGGTAATTGTGTATGAAGATGAAAGTGATAAGCCTGCAGTAGGTGTGAGCCTTAACAAGGCTGCTGAGGTGACTTTGAGGCTACAGCTTAGACATTCAGAATTGCAAAAGGGGCATCCAGATGATATTATTAAGAAATTAAGAGTGATTATGGAGAGACAAGGAGCACAATTCATTTCATTTAACCCTACAAATGTTGAATGGAGTTTCTTGGTTGACCATTTCAGCAGATTTGGTTTGAGTGATGATGATGAGGAAGATATTACTATGGATGATGTGAACGGTGTGGTTCAAGATCCTGGGGAAATGAATGGTAGAGAGAATTCTGAGTTTGATGAAGAAACCCACATAGATACCACTGGGCCTGTTCTTACACATTCTCTTCCTGCACATCTAAGGCTTGACCCAGTAAAGATGAAAGAAATTAAAATGTTGATGTTCCCTGTTGAGGAAGAAGAGGAGGTTGATGATTTCAGAGGGATAACTTCTCGTAGAAAACCAACCTTTGGTAAAGAACACATAAGGCCTCCTTTGCATGATTCCAGTCAGAGAATGAGCCTTAGGTCTACCCCATCTGCTTTACGAAAAATGCCAGTTGCTTTGCTGGAGTATAATCCAGGTTCTGATTCCAGTTCCCCATGTTCCATTCTAATGACCCAACAGAATAAGGATATTCCTCTGAAGGTGATAAAAAGAGAAGGTTTTAAGCTGGACCTCAAGCAAGAGACGCCAATCACTGGAAGCCATTCACGCAACATAGTTGATGCAGCATTGTTCATGGGTAGGTCGTTCCGTGTTGGTTGGGGCCCAAATGGTGTCCTTGTTCATTCTGGTATGCCAATAGCTGGTAATGACTCCCAGAGAGTATTGTCTTCTGTAATCAATGTAGAGAGGGTTGCAATTGATAAAGTGGTTAGAGATGAACATAACAGGGTTAAAAAAGAACTTGTTGAGTTTGCTTTTGATTCTCCATTGAATCTTCACAAGGCTCTGAATCATGAAATAAAAGAAGTAGACGTTGGGTCCTTTCACCTGAAGCTTCAGAAGGTTGTTTTTGATCGATTGACACTTTCAGATATATGTAGGAGTTACATTGACATAATTGAGAGGCAGCTGGATGTTCCTGATCAGTCTTCTTCTGGTCGCTTGGTTTTGATGCACCAAGTAATGGTTTGGGAATTGATAAAAGTTCTATTTTCTGAAAGAGAAAATACTGGGCAACTGAAATCCATGGGCGCTGACAATGAAGAAGACATGATGCAGGATTTGAAGGAAGGTCCTCCAGAGGTTGATCTTGAAGCTCTTCCTCTTATTCGGAGGGCAGAGTTTAGTTGTTGGCTACAAGAGAGTGTCTGTCACCGTGTGCAAGATGAAGTGAGCTCCTTGAGTGAGTCCAGGTATCTAGAACACATATTCATTCTCCTCACTGGGCGGCAATTGGATGCAGCTGTGGAGCTGGCTGCTTCCAGAGGAGATGTGAGACTGGCTTGTTTACTAAGTCAGGCTGGTGGATCAAAAGTGAATCGTTCTGACATTGCATGGCAGCTTGATCTTTGGAGAAAGAATGGGCTAGACTTCAATTTTATTGAGAAGGAAAGGATTCAGCTTTATGAGTTGCTTGCTGGTAATATTCACAGAGCTCTGTACAATAGTAAAATTGACTGGAAGAGATTTTTGGGGTTGTTAATGTGGTATCAACTCTCACCTGACACTAGACTGCCTGTTGTGTTTCAAACTTATCAGCACCTTCTTGATGATGGAAAAGCTCCATTTCCTGTTCCAATCTATGTTGATGAAGGTCCAATAGAAGAGGATTTCAATTGGAGTACAGGTGGACGTTTTGACCTTTCATATTATCTTATGCTTCTGCATGCCAGTGAAGAGAGTGAATTTGGCTTTCTGAAGACAATGTTTAGTGCCTTCTCTTCAACACCTGATCCGCTTGACCACCATATGATCTGGCATCAGCATGCTGTGTTGGAAGCTGTCGGTGCTTTCCACTCTGATGATCATCAAGTTCTTGACATGGGACTTATATCCCAACTTCTGTGCCAGGGGTTATGCCATTGGGCTATCTATGTGGCCCTTCACATACCTTATTGTGAAGATTATCCATATCTTCAGGCCACTATTATTCGGGAAATTTTGTTTCAATACTGTGAGTCCTGGAGTTCAGAAGAATCACAACGTCAATTTATTCAAGACCTAGGTGTTCCATTGGAATGGATGCATGAAGCTATGGTATGCCTTCGATTCCAGTGTAGTTGTGTGTGTTCTAATTTAATGCATATTAAGTTGATGCTAGCATACTCCATGTTACAGCTATGTGATTTGCTAGCATAGAGAGCTTCAAATGTTGGTTCCATCAATCATTAAATTTATTTTCTTAGCTAACTGAACAAACCATTGGGGTTCTGACTGGTTGGTGTCTTTGGTTTATTCAATCGATAGAAAAGGCTAAAAAGGTTGAAACCTTATTCTACAATGAATTTACTCTTAAGATCACTATTGAACTTGATGTTCTTGAGGTATGTTTGTTCTGTGGTTAGGCTATCTTATGTCTTGACTTGATGTGGCCCTTTTTTTTTGGGTGTTGGGGGGGGGTTGCGTGTGGGGGTGTGGTATGGTTGGAAGAAAGAGAGTTGTTCTTATTCGGGAAAGTCAAAATGCTTGAATAGAGTTCACATCCTCTTCGTGAACGTCCTTTTTTCATGCTTGTTGACAAATTCTTCTCCTCTGTAACTGCAGGCTGTTTATTACAATTACCATGGAGATTTTCCAAAGGCTCTAGAGCACTTTCTTGAATGCGCATACTGGCAAAAGGCTCATTCTATTTTCATAACTTCAGTTGCTCACACGTTGTTCTTGTCAGGTAAGATACCTTCATTAAATAAGTATGCCCATTTGCATTGTAAAGTTTTATTTTTCCCATGTATTCATATTGTTGGGACATGTGTGATGTAATTTTAGAACTAATTGAATTTCTCCTTAATTAAATAGAGGGGAAAGAAGAAACCTTATCCTAAAATTTATACTGTTAATATAAATCATGATGATTTAACATCCTTTGGCTTTGGTTTGTGGAGTTTAAGAGGTAACTCTGAAGTATTCAATGTTCTTACTCATATACCTTTTATTACTTATCATGTCAATATATTGATGAGTTCCATAGTGTGAGATCCTCAGGGTGCACCTCTTTGACTTTGAGGGTCAAAGTAATTAGATTTAGTGATTTCAACTAACATTTAGAATCTATGATGTCTTTGTTGGACATTCCTCATTAATCTGAAACCGTAACTTGTATTTGATTTTTTTTTTTTTTAATATTCAATCTGCTTTAAGAGAATATAAGTGTGAAATTTAGGGTCATTTAGTTGTTTAGTCTCGACACTTACTGCTCTGTGGTACTATGTATGATTACAGTTGTAAGACACTCATTTAAAGATTTTGAATCTGGTTTTAGGAAGATCAATTTTAGATTCCCTCTAAAAGGAACTTCAAATTATTTTAAGCTTTTCTGTGTTCTGGTTGTTCTCATGTTGTGTGTACTAGCCTACTAGGCCTAATATCCCCTTGGAAGGAATTTAGAAGGTTGTTAAAGTTTGACTTATGGGGGGAAATTAGAGAAACATTGTTAATCCAAACATTTTCTTTATAAAATTTATGCAGCCAATCACTCAGAAGTATGGAACATTGCGACTTCCATGGAGGACCACAAGTCAGAAATTGAGAATTGGGACTTGGGAGCTGGAATTTATATTTCTTTCTATGAGCTTCGAAGTTCAGTGCAGGAAGACAACAATACTATGACTGAACTGGTAATAACCTCACTTCTTAAAAAACAGAAAATAAATAAATAAATAAATAAATAAAGGGATTAGTGACTTGCAAATATGCCAGATTGTAGAATGTAGATCTGGATTTAGGCTCTCCTCTGCATTATTATTGACAGTGGATACAGGCATTGCAGAATGAGTCAATGTCCAGAGGCTTCTAAATGAGTCATTTTACTGATCATTCTTATTTGAACTTTAGTTTGCAATTGCATGGGATGATGATTAAATGACTTGAAGTTCCTTAGTTGAAAGAATATATCTGCCAGCCTTCTTGTGTGATAAAATAGGCAATTAATTTCCCCCATGTGGAATGCGTGATGACCATGTTCTTTTGTATTTTGCAGGATTCTCTTAGCAGCAAAAATGCTGCTTGTAGGCACTTCCTTGGTCGTTTGAGTGAGTCTTCGGGAGTTTGGGGTGGCAGGTTACCAGTTGATGCAAGGTAATATGCATCTCTTCTCTTAATTTAGTTAATCATGATAAAACCTGTCTATTATTATTTTCTTTTCTCTCTCTCTCTCTTTTTTTGGGTCAGCCTAAAACTGCATTGTTTTGATGTGCCAGCCCCCCAACCCCAACTGAGACTATCATATATATTACCTTTGAATGCAAAGGAAAAACCAGAATGTCAAGTCATAATGGCAATAAATCACTCCATGCTAACAAACTCAAAAAAAGTAAAGAAAGTAAACATAAAATAAAACACTTGTTTATAGGAAATTCTTAACCAAGCTAAAATTGCTCTACCGTGAACTTGCTAACCAATCTTAACCAAGCTATAAGAGCATATATGCTTACTTATTGAGCTAGCTAGTAACATACATTTTCTCAGCAACATGGAAGTGATGGTACTGAAATCCTATGGTTGACCCTTGAGAAGGATTTGTACTGCCCTCTTAGGTTGAGTAACTTACGTATGGAGCTGTAGTAGAAAGGTTTGTGGCAGTGGGGATCATTTAGGGAAATTCCTTATCTCGTGCTTTCTAGTTAGCATTGCTAGCATCTGGCAGGGGAAATCATCTTATGCATCTCCTTTTGACCTCCTGGTGATTAACTTCCTGTGCCTGTTTTGCAGGGTGGCATTTTCAAAGATGGCAGAGGAGATATGCTCTTTGCTGCTATCTGATATTAGTGGGGGTCTAACACGTGATGATCAGTTAGACTGCTTTGACACTGTCCTTAGTGCCCCCATTCCCGAGGACCTTCGATCCAATCATTTGCAGGACGCTGTGTCGCTTTTTACTTGCCATCTCGCAGAAACAACCACGTAACGTTGTTCTCCATTTGTGATTTTGGCGCAGCAGAGTATAAAAAAACTGAGAGTTTTCATTGTAAACCTATTTGTTGTAGTTGCTTTCAGCGTGTGACATTCAGCGAAATATATATCAATCAAGTTGCCAAGTTGAAGAAACACTTGCCACTCCATACCCAAATCAGAAATTGGAATTTGGAACACATTTTCCCTGTTATACGTATTGTCAATTTTCAATTTATTGGACGCAACACAGCAACATGGCCAATACAAAACAAGCAGGATAAAGAACTAAAGCTGATATGTCTGTACATTCAAATCGCAGACTGACTTAATTGTGTGGATGATAGATTCATCACATGTTAATTCACCCTCCATTTATATCATGTCATGCTGTAAAACTTTGTTAGTACCAACAAATATTTACAATAAATCATTTTCATAATTTTATGACAATCATTTTGCATCCAAAAATTAAAATTTCAAAACTCAAGTTAGCTGGCTTTTTATGCAATTTTCAAGATATTGATTTCGAAGCATGAGTTACTAACAAAGCCTACTAGTTGATCCACACATTCTGGTTCAATAGCATTGATTTTAAATAAGTGAAATCAATTTCCTGAATTATAGTTTCAAACAGGTTTTTTTCTTTTTATCTTTGAACAAGAAAGCTCAAACTTAATTCCAATAAAAAACGTCATGTGAAGAATAATTAGTCGTTCTACCTCAAACTTCTCGAAGAAGTAAATCATATTGGTAACTGTAGAGGTAAAGAAATTATGTTGTCTGACACAGGTAAAGAAATTATGTTCATTGCCTATTTTCAAAAAAAAAAAAGAAAAGTAAAGAAATTATGATGTCTGACGCATAGACAGCGGTATCTGATTCATTGTACCATAAAATCCTTCAAATCCCAAACCAAAGCAGCCAATGGAAACGAAGTCTCATTTTCTAAGTATTTGTTTTTGATAATCCCCATTTTTTTTTTCTCTCTTTCTTTTTTTTTTGGTACAACATTTTCTCTGTTTTGATGATGCGTCGCGCTTCCGCAAAGAAAACGGGTCAACCCAATCCCATTCCTTTTTCGCACACGGATCTCTTTCGCTCAGGTCAGCTTCTCCACTTTCCTTTTTCATTTTATTTTTTTTCCTTTGATTTTCTTCCATTCCATTCCGATCTTGATTTGATGCCCAAATTTCGCTTTAATTTTTTAGGTTAATTTCATTTCATTCTGCTTCTTCTTCCTTGTTTCATGATTTTTTTTTTTGGTGAAATCCTTGTTTCATGGTTGCCTTCCTCTTGATTATCATCTAGACTCGATGATATTAAAAAAATTCAGCTAATTCAAGTAGTGCTATTTGATAGCTGTTTATTTATGATTTATTTAACTTTGATTTTAAGATACTGCCAGAATTGCGTATAACTACAATCATTACTGGAAGTGAATAGCATTTATTTAGCGCAAAAGTGGTTCTTGTGTGCACAATCGGTGCCTGTAGACCTATTTTTTCGTTGAAAGTTTCTTAATTTTTTGATGGGTTTGTTGAATTCTGTTCATGATGATTGATGAATTGAGCGAATTGCACTCTACCCACTTTTTTTTTTTTTCTTTTTCTCATTGTTTTACCAGGTGATCTAAGTCTACTAAATTAAATATTTATTGGGATCTGTTTTTCTTTTTCTTTTTCTTTTTTTTTTTCAGCCTCAAGTAAAGCATCTTCAAAAGAGATGGAACGGATTGATAATCTATTTTATTCATATTGCAATAGATCATCTGGTATGATCGAGTAAGTATGTCTGTTGGAGTATGAAATTTAATTTTTGATATTTGTTTTTGCAGTATTAATTTGGCAGTGTCCACGGTGATGAAGTAAATTTTGATATTCTTATATTCATTATAAAAATTTCATTTTCCCCTTAAGATTTCCTGTTTGAATTTTTGGTGGTGTTAACTATTATATTCTAGTTTGAATTTCCTCATGGCGAATATTTGATTCATTGGGTTTTTTCTTGATAAAAAAGAGAAGATGTTCATGAAAATTTAATTTGTATTGGAAGTTACACTCCAGAGTTTAAAATTCTTTTCCATGCGCTTTTATCCCACTGAAGTTCAGTGGGATTATTTTGTCTCAAGCAGACTTCCTTGTAAAGCTAAAGCCATCATATTCTCTATTATGGTCTCACTTCTGAGCTAACGTAGGGCTCTTGTCAGTTTGTTTTGTGACTATGAAGATAAGTTGCATGGACACTAGAAGCAACTCTAGCTGCAAGTTTCTTAAACTTTTTCCCAGTTTTGAAAACTCATAGAATTACAGATATCTGGGAATGTGACATCCATGGGAATGTTATTGTAAATCAATTAATGGAAGGAATATTTGTGGTTGGTGCTATTGTAGAAAATTTATTAATTAAAATCACACCTGATAATTATAATAAAAACGAGGTACCCTTTTTTTAATTTTGGGCTTCTGGAAAATTTTCAAAGTTATTCTGACTTTCTTGATCCATTATAAAAACAGCCCAGAAGGAATTGAAACTTTGTGTTCGGATATGGAAGTCCATCATACTGATGTTAGAATCTTGATGCTTGCTTGGTAAGCCTATGTGATGTCTTAATCATTTACTTTTAACCTTATTCTCATCTATTGACACTAACACAGCACGCATGGCAGGAAAATGAAAGCAGAAAAACAGGGCTACTTCACCCTGGTAAGGATTATTTCTCTATGTGGTTGTCAATGTTCAAAATTTCATTAGCTAGCTTGTCTCAATTGTTTTCTCAAGAAACGAAAAAATTATTAGGCTTCATATCCACTCTTTATTTTCCTTGTTTGTTGCAGTTTGGTTATAGTTTTGGGTTTGATATCCATACATTATTTCCTTCTTAGTAGTCTTATATGATAATCAATTTCTGTCCACATCTTTTGACTCACTTAAGTGCATGAAGAGATTTTTTGATTTGGTTCGTTGTTCTAATAATTGTGCTTGCTTTACGTTCTTTTGTGTAGAATTAATTTAATTTGTTCAGTTGATGCAGTGCATTGCAAATTGACATTTGCAGATTCTTGAATACATTAGGCTTGATATAACAAAACCTTATGCCATTCCTTAGGATGGAGATTTGAATGATCATGTTTTGTTTAAAAGAATGGTTATTATTCCATGTTCATCACACATTTCCTTTTGATATGTTGGAATAACTATTACCTCATCCCTCTAGATTTATGTTTTTATGGGTGACAAGCCTGGAATAGTCATTACATTCGTATACTCTCCTCAATTTTACCTCATTTTTAGGCAATAACTGTGTATCAATCATTCCATTGAACCAAACAAGACCATTTATTTGCATTAAGTGGCTACTCACAAGACTTAAAAAGATGTTTGCTGGACAATCAGTACACTCGACTTGAGTGCTCATAGTTGCGCTACTAGCAGAATTGGTGGATGCAGTTTTAATTATTACTATTTGTCTGACTGGCTATGTTACATTGACTTAGGATCAGGTGTCCTGTACAGGTGCTTTGAAGTTTGAACCTTTTTTAGTCATTTCCTTTATTTTGGAGGACCCAAAAGTAGTTTGGGATTTAGTGTCAGACAAGCATCAGATATGGTCTTGTTAGGATAAAGTTAAGAACATATGAAAATGAGTCTGTATACAACACTTAATGTTATGATTGGTGGACACAAATAGTATGGTTGAATGCAGTTAGGAATTACAAGTGCAAAGAACTAGTTAAATCCACAATGCGTTGTTATTAGTATTACTAGTTTATTAGTGCTCTCTTACTCTCCTTTTTTTTTGGCCATATAGTCTGCTTATTTGTTTTCCTATATTTATATTGTCTGTTGAAATGACTCTTGAATCTTATTTTTAATAGGAGGAGTGGCGAAGAGGCTTGAAAGCACTTAGAGCTGACACTGTGAGTAAATTAAAAAAGGCCCTTCCAGAGCTAGAGAAAGAGGTACAAATTTCTAAATGGTTCTCTTGCTGGGAATGTAATTCAGTTTCTATAGGCCTAGTGGCATATATGATATGATGAAAAGATGTTGTGGAAGTGCTGATATATATTTTTTATTAAAAAGGTTAGAAGACCAACAAACTTTCTGGATTTGTATTCCTATTCATTTCGATATTGCTTGACAGGTATCATGATATTTAGCTAGCATGAAATTTTAATTTGTAGATGTTCTTGTTCATTTTACTTATTTATTCACATCCTGACGCTCTAAATCTCTTTTCACAGAGGAGAAACAAAAGAGCATAGACATAGAGAGCATATGTCAACTACTGGACCTTGTTTTGGGATCCCAATTCCGTGCACAAGTTGACTATCTTATTGAGTATTTAAAGGTGGTAGCTGATTTTCTTATTAGCCAATGATTATTTTATTGTATTGTGCATGAAAAATGAGTCAAGTCTTTCCACTGCATTGAGTGAACAATAAAAGTGATCTTGTTTGTTTTTCTTCAAGGATCTCCATTTGGTTTTGATTTTAGAAATGAATCACTTACAGAATTCACTTTGGTTTCAACTCTGCAAATTTTAAATGATAGAATGGCACAGAGTTGTTATATTTTTATGACTTAATGTTTTAGTATTTGTAAAATCTAATCTATTACAAAATAATATGTTAGAAAAACAGTTAACCTGAACTGAATTGATCTTGAACTGAAAATTTCTGTTTAGTTTATCTTAGTTTTCAATGATAATCTTCCTTTCTGTTTGGATGACAAAAAAACAAGTATTTAGATTGTTTGAAATTTCAATATGTGCTGCTGTGTTTTTAGCACCCAAGGAAGAGAAAACACCTTTTAATTCTGTGCTTATGTTATAACTGCAGATTCAGAGTGATTATAAGGTCATAAACATGGATCAGTGGTTGGGCTTTTACCGGTTTTGCAATGAGGTAGACTATTTTGGAATTTCTTGATCTATTCATCATTAATATTTTGGTGACATGCAGAGTATTAATGAGACACAATATGCTCACTCACAGCCACCTTAAAAGTTACAAAATAAAGCCTTCTTTTATTGTTGCTAACCAAGATTGGACATTCAATTTAAGTCTTCAAAAGTGGCAGATTTCCTAGAGAAACAAGCAATGTTATAACATGCTCAATTGTCTGTTCCTGCAGCTCCCCTTATCTGGAGTTAATAGCAATTGGATTTTTTTTGTCCACAATAACAATTGGATTTTATGTTGTTCACACTCAACAACTTACTAAAATGGATGAATTTCTTGATCTGATTCAAGTTTCTCACAGAGGCTTGCCTGTGAACTACTTGCATACTTGCATGTGGTTTGCATAATAACCAGTTATTTAGCATATTATAAGTTCAATTTTCCTTAGTTCAACCCTGTTCTTCTCACTAATGGACATTTTTATCAGATAAGTTTCCCGGACTTCAGCGGTTACGATCCAGAACTTGCATGGCCGTTGATCCTGGACAATTTTGTAGAATGGATGCGGGCAAAGCAGACCTAAAACCATATTATGTTATGTCCAACTTCATCCTCAGCTGTAAACAACATCTTTAATGAAGAAGGTGCTTATGTTACACCTTCCTGGTGTCTTCTATCCAAAGGTTCAAGCTTTAAAAAGCATGAGCATTGTTTTTAGTTTCTATAGCTTCAGAAGCACTCCAATCCAATCTCCAAATTTATTATGAATTTTTCCTTTGCAGGGATATTGAAAGTACACAATCATGCATCTCTACCAAGGTTTCTTTTCTTTCTATTTATAATTTTTCCATTTCAACCATTATATTTACTACCATTATATCATATACTGTCCTAGAATTATTTTTATAATATCTTGTATTGTATTGTATTGCGTTATGTTGACAAAAACCTGTTTATATCTGATTAAGACCGCTGGGACAGCCCAGTGATCATCTTTGATTTGTTTTACAATTCAACCATATTTTCCCGCAAATCTTATATATTTTCAAATGTTGTTTTATGTCTGATTAATGGGTCTTGTATATTAAGTTTTTAAATTTGAATATTGTTGGCGTAATTGTGTATCCTTGTAAAAATGGGAAAAAAATTGTCGGACGAGTAGTGTAAACCACTGATGACTAAGCAGTACATAGGATCCCTGGGAAGGAGGACTATAAAGTGGGGATAGACATATATTTTTGAGGAAAAAACTTAAAAATGTATGCTGGTTACATTTAAGTTGGAGATGGACAAATTCAAACATTGAAAGTTTCAAAACTAATATCTCTCGAATAATCTTAAGGCTGCAATCTAAAAGACAAAAGTGTAAACACCTCAAAACCATTCTTTCTTAAATAATCTTAAGGGTGCAATCTAAGAGACAAAAGTGAGGATAACCCAAAATTAATTTTGCTTGGATAATTTCGAGGGGGTAATCCAAGAGATGAGTTAACTCTGTAGTATATGTAATTTTATGGTCTATATAAGAAGATGTACAGAAAAGAAAGTCAAGTTCAAAAAAAGAAAGTTGAAAAAAGCAGAATCCAAAAGCACTTTTGGACCAATAAGTCAAGTATTGGTTGCAATTGAATGGAATCCACGAAGAAAATGCCAACACCTCAAATCAAAAAAGTGACAGCGACGGGATTATATTTGACTGCTTGCTCCCTATTGGTGGCAATTGGACCTAAACAAGCTCAATAATTCAATTGAGTAATTCAAAAGTTGATGAAGTACAACACCACATTCATAAAAAATGGTGAAAGTAGAAGAGTAAAGTGCAATGAAAAAAAGGCTGAAGGCGCAAGCGATATTTATTCCTTCTCTTTTACTTTTCTCCAAACTGATATCAGGCTTCTTGCACAAGAATTTCCCTCAGATACTTGAAACTCAAGGAAAATGCATAGATTGAGGCCAAAAAGAGAAGAATGCATAATCTTGCCATTTCCTTCTACATTCAAATGTTATTTCATGCATGAATATAGATAGAGTTTCATTTTTTAACAATCCGAATTACATTAAATTGTAAAAAAAGGACCTTTTGATGAAGGGTAGCCTCCAATATCAAAGAGCCTAGCCCTATCTAAGGGTTAGTCTAACATAGTCCAATATGGCTAAATTCAATAAGTAGTATATTAACTTTGTGATTTATTTTGGTTCAGTCTAAAAATAATTTTTTCTTTTAAAATTGTCTATAAACTATCAATTTTGTTTCAAAATAGTCTAATTGACAAGTATTCCGTTAACTGACTAACGGAATTCTTTGTTGTTGTTGACAAGTTACCCTTAAACTTTTGAAAATATTAAATAGGATACATATATTTTTATTTTTTATAACATTTTGTTTTTGAAGTTTAATTTTTTTTGTCAAATGTAATAATTAACCAATATGAAATTTCAATTTACATTCATTAAGATTATAATTATAATTCACAATAATCAATATTATAATTTAAATTTTATAATTTCTAAAAAAATTAAATTAAATTTAATTTAATTTAATGAGCACCCACATATAATTAAAATTACTTGAAAAAATAAAAATTTATTTCAATTTTATAAATCCCCAAATTAAAATCATGCATGTATTATTAGTGTTAAAAATAAAAATAAATTTTTTTTTATTTTTCTATACAAACTATACAAAATAGTGAAAAATATGTAATTTAATAATGATATTAAGTTTTTTAAGAAATAATAAAATTTAAATTATAACATTGATTGTTGTAAATTAAAATTAGAGTCTTGATAAATGTAAATTAAGATTGTCATCTTAATTAATTATTCCATTTGACATAGAATTTAAACTTCAAAACCAAAATATTACAAAAAAACAAAAAAAATATATACTAAATTTAACCTTTTTCAAAAGTTTAGAGGCAACTTGTCAACAGCCAAAAAGAATTCCGTTAATTAGTTAACGAAAGTTAACGAAATGTTTATTAAGTAGATCATTTTAAAACAAAATTGATAGTTTATAGATTATTTTGAAAGAAAAAATTGATTATAGACTAAATTGAAATAAATTACATAATTAATAGATTATTTATTAAATTTAGTCAGTTCAACATAGTGTAATTGCACTAGACATTTCTAATATAGATAATCTGAATATTAATCATAAAAAGTTGGATTTTAAGCATCATAACACACACACACACTAATCAAAATTTGTTCTTGTTTCTTGCTTCATAAAGAGATTAAAAAAAAAAAAAAGAGAAAAAAAATCCATAACTTATGCTGTAAATTGTTGAATGTTTAAGGAATTGACGAAATGTGATGCTTGATTAGCAATATAAATTACTAAGAAAACAATAGTATGTTTTGGCTACCGGAAAATAAGGTTAAATTGGATGAAATCTGCAGAGACACAACATTTCTTGCCAAAAAAATTATACCATGGTACACATGTACAGATATGTGATGCATGCCCTGCAACATTTCTCAACACAATGTTAGCGGCATAATAAAATCACATGATAAAGAATGAAAAGGAAAAAGAAACTCATTGATTTGCTTAGCTTTTTTTTCCCCTCTTTTGGGCATATGGAAATAAATTAGAGTATCTCAAGTGAACATCAAGATGATGAGGAAGAACCCAGAATCAAAGGTGAGGATGGAGGAAGTGCACGTCTGTTTCTGCTTCTACCGCGTACTTGAGTGCTGGAAGGTGATGAATTTGAAGATGATGATGAATTTGAAGATGTGAATCTGTTGGAATCGCTTGTCAATTTCTTCTTCTCTCCATCATCACAAGGCTTACCCTCGATTCTATTATTCTGAATTTTAGTTGTGTTTAAAGTGGCAGGAAGAACACAATTGCAGAAGAAGCCTACAATAGAAATGCAAGTAAACACCAGTTTATTGTACTATTGTATGGTCTTCAGATTCAGATCACATAACACAGAAATCAAAACAAACTTGTTAACCAGCTGCTTCCAGAAAGTATTTGATTCATTAAGACTTCCATGCATTCTCATTTTTACTAAGAGAAAATTGGCCAAAATGGAAAAGAGAAGAGAGGAAATAAAAGAAAATGCTTAGTTTCTTCTACCTGCATCATTTCAATATCCCATTTATCTTTTTGCTTTTTTCGCCATCCTATCACCAAAATAAATGAAGAATTAAGAATCACATACCGATTCTAGCAAGGCGATTAACCCAACTTGGGATTGGATTCCCAGTCAATCTGATAGAGGCATCATTGCAGAAATGGTTGCAATTTTTGGTAATCAAATTATAGGCATTTCCTTTGTAAACCTCTGCAAGATCTTCCATCACTCTTCTGACCTCTGCAGGCCCCATATCTGTTTTTCCTACCAAGATTGTCTTCCTGAATGTGAATCCATCACACTGTTTTGGCTCGCCTTCAAAAATCCCAGTTGTTGGATATTCATGAGCTCCAAATGCATATTCAACACCATGAACTACATTGCATTCATTTAGAAATGCCTCAGATTAATAGATTGAAATCTCTTAAAACTCTACAAACTGAGTAATATATACGGTTAGCAGAACATAGAAACACCCATGAACTTAAGTCTGATTCTTGATGATGTTCATATTTATTTTGAAATTGGAAGCAACAAAAATATATGAAAGGAAGGAATCCCAATTTAGTTTCAGAAGACTAAATAGTTTTCTCAATCTCAATTTGAGGAAAGATTTTGATTCCATGGATCTAAACTCCAAAAAAAGAAAAGTAAAGCAACTAATACATTTCACTTTCTCGCATTTTCTCATCAACCAAACAGAACATGATATATCAATCACTTTATGAATCTATACAGCTTCTTGCTTACATCACTGAAACAGCAACCCAGATACTCAAAAGATTTTTCAGCACTACCTCCATAAATTTACTGCACACAAGTGACCCAAACTAGCAAACAAATCCAATCACGGATCTAATTTGAAACCCACTACTGCAATCATACCCACAAAGAAAAGAAAAAAGGTTAGAGAATGCCAAGCACTAACCTTGAACCCCAGAATGATAAACCCCAAGTCCAAGCCAGTAAGCATACCCATTAATGGGTGTGAGATCATACACATTCAGAGACACCGGCACCGATCCTCCGTCGTCGTCCCGACTGGAATTCTTCCTACACAACATCTCTGGAGCTAAAAATCACGTCAACGAAGTTGATGTCTGATACTGGCGTCGTTTTCAACTACCCATCAACCAGCTCTCAATCAGTTCTTCATAATTTTAAAAAGTTAATGGAATTTTTTAAGTAAAGTTTGAGTTTTTAATATATCAAAAATCTGAAAAGGGGGAATGAGAATCCTCTGTTTATGGGCGTCACCGCCGGCAGGTAGTGACCGCAGTATGCACCGGAGATTTTTTTAATGCAGGAAATATTGGAGGTTATAAAACTGGAAGACGTAGAAGATGGGGATTGCAGATTGGAGGGAATTACGGAAATGCCATTTAGTACTGTCTTAAAGAATTTTGCAAGAATAATAATAAAAAAGGAATGAAAGTTTATTTAAGGCTAAAATTTTATGTCTAACAACGTTTCTATCACTTATATTTTTTTTAAATATTAAAAAAAATAAATTTTAAATTACTTATAAATTAATTTTTTATTTTATATTACATATATTAATTTATTTTAAAAAAACATATAA